ATAATTCATAAATATGATAGTGTACATTCTATAAATATGTGAATTTATAGTTTCTTCTGTGATTCTCTATTGTTGAAATAATACAGTAATCCATAGAAGCAGGAAAATGGTTTAAAAGAAGCATTTTTTTTCTTTTCAAATTGGGGGCTGGGTTTGTCCCTTATTTTTCCACATCAAAGGTGACAACTTATAACCTAGAAACCTGGGAATAATATTGTGATAATATTTTTGGCCATATTGCCCAGCTTTACTGTACAGTAACATGTTTTAACACTCATGCATGAATATAGGGTCATGGCTACAATATTACACCTTCATCATGTCAAGAGTGGAAAGTGAAAAACAAGGTATGTGTTTTATCTTTTTACTAACTTTTGACATTTTAGCTTGGTAACTTGTTGAATGAGGAATAGCACTGGTGATATCAGCATCTGGTGTTCATGTGGATTTCAAAGCTGTATTACAGAAACTGAAAGCACCCCATTATGGATGTATTATGTCAAAAGCACTCATTGTAATTTTTTGAGATAATGGGAAAAGCTGGAGACAAATCCAGTGATATCCAAATCCGAATTACAATGATAAATGTGTGTAACTGCGTGGTTCAGCCGCCTGACAAGTCTCGCATGCTAGACTTCTATCTATTGCTACGATATCTAATTTACTTGCCACTACCTGCTTCAAACAATACTCTAGAATAACTTTTTTCAAGATGCTCTGCCATGAACTTTTTTAAATCCAGTGACTCTGAAAAGCTCACAGTGTTCACAAGTTTGTCTTCCTGTCAGAAACTTGTGTACAATAGCACCAACATTGTTAACAAGAGAATCCAAACAGGAAGAGAGGAAAAAAAAACAATCATTATTTTATTGCCATGTCAGTGGACAAGTCAGCTCCATGCTAACAGAAGAAATGATAAACAGTACAAGTCACTGACAAGAGACCTTATCCCAAGCCTCTTGATTGTACTGGACTTCACAAAACTGAGGTTCGCAAATTCGCAGGTCAAAGTTTCACAAAAAGCAAACGTAACTGCTAGTAGGAGCAAATGTGTGTTTTTCGTGCCCTTTCCCCTGTAGTGAATTTTATTTGTGTTTGGTCTGACTAGCTGCTTTAGCTAGAAAAAGCAGAAAAGCATAGTTTTACTGTTCAGGTGTCTCACATATAGCTGTAGCAAAGAGTCAAAAATAGCAAACTATAGATGCTGGCACTCGAAAAACACAGGGTGGAACCAAAAGGGACAGAGATTGAGGTGGAGAAAGGTATTGATGGAAAAAGGTATTGGTGAGAAATACAGAAATCTCATTTAAGACAGTTTTTGTGAAGAAACCAGATGGCAGATTTAACAGAAAGGACATCATGGAGAGCTACGAAACATGAAAACACTCAGCTAGCTCTTTCTCCCTCCCACACATTTGGAAACCTGTATTTTGTTATCTCACCTTGCACAAGAGAGATCCAGATCTTGCATAGGCAATCTACACAAATAGCAAAACTATTTTAAGAAGTTCAGAGTCTTTAAAAAATCCTCACTGCTGTGATTTTTGTTCAACCCAGACTAGTGTAATACACAATAGTCTACAAAAGAGTATGCTTGACTTGTTTCAACAACAGCAGGGCACAAAAGTTTCCTGACAATCAGAACACAGTGAGTATGAGAATACTCTGTGATCTACACACATACACACACTGACTACGTTTACATGCACGTCAATATTCCGATAGTAATCGGAATTTGGCAATTGCCCGATTCAGGTTAAGGCAATATTCTGATTCCCCAAATTCTGATTCCCACCCCTGGAATATGCCGATATTAATCGGAAATTTATTTATTATTATTCACCTTAAATCCACTGAAAGGAGATATATGCACATGCTCTATCTGCAAGGAATTGTGGGTGCTAACAGATGTGAGTGTTTAGCTTACCAGATGCTTACCCGACCCTTTCCATTTCGAGGCGGTGTTGTTGGGCATTTTTGATGGTTAGAAGTGTTAGAGTCCTAATTAAATTAGTGTGAAAAAGTAGTGATAAATAAAACTAATAACTGAGCATACTCTATAACCAAAGGCAGCATCTTGTTATCCCCCGGGAAATAACAGCGGGAAAGGAAAAGCTCGTGTAGATCGGCATACTTGCAACAACCATGTATACAGGAATATTCCGATGCCTGTACGCATATATATATCGTATTCAGAATATAGGTGCAACCTGAATATAGATCTTAAATGGAATTTGATGTGCACGTAACCGTAGTCGCTGTCCTAGTGATGAGGGTCAAGGAGATCAACTAGGGCAGAATAGTGGAACTTCCAGTCTAATATATGATGCCTATTTCACTGATTAGAGCTGCAGGGAGCAGTACAGGTTAATCAGACGCCGAGCTCCCGGCCCTGACCCAAATTAAACATCTGGGTATAAGCTCATCTGGATGAATATCTGGGGTTTGGAGAGGAAGAGAGGAAAGATGGGGTGAAAAATATAGGGAGAGAAAGGTACTGATAGGAGCTAAGCAGGATAAAGAGGTCAGAATTCAGCTGCCATTTGCTTAAAGCACCACAGTTTGCAGATAAATACTGAAAAAAAAAAAATCAGAAAAAAAATCAGGGCTGAGGGCTGTAATTTACCTTTTCAAATACTTTTAATTTTTTTTATAATATTTACATATTTAAGATATTAAAAATCCACATTTGAATATTCTATGGTCTATCAAAATGTGCATATACTATTTATTTATTTATTTATTTTATTTATTTTATTTATTTTATTTATTTATTCTCTGAATGAAATACAACCGCTGCAGGACACAATTTTTTTTTTTTTTAAATTAAAAATTCTGCTAATGTTAATACACAGTTACTTTATATTTGATGACTTTAAAATATAGTAATTGTGTCATGTACAAAAGTCTGGACACCTTTCCTGTTGTAAAGTCTCAGAATTGAATTAACTTGTTAGGCCTAAATTGACTCATTCAGACTTGTTATGCCAGTCAAGAATTGTCATTAGGTATAACAATTCCACTCTTCAAACCTTGTGAAAACTCTTAACAACCATGGGCTCCTCTAAGAAGCTTACTGAAAATCTGAAACTGAACCTAATTACTGCCTAAAAAGCAGGAAAAGGCTATAAAAAAAGATATCAAAGCACTCCCAGTTTTCACGGTCTGAAGTGTCATTAACAACTGGCAGTTAAGGAGTAGAAGTCAAGGCAAGATCTGGAAAACCGGGCAGACAGGCAAATCATATCCCCACATAACACTAAGGACCTGCACGAAGTTTTAGCTGACACAGCAGTGGTTCTGTACAGTTCTACTGTGCAGTGTTGCTTGTAAAATCATGATCTGCATGGAAGAGTCATCAGAAGGAATCATTAGCTGCAACCTTATAACAAATGTGAACATGTATGCAAAACAACATCTAGATATGCCAGAGGCATTTTGGAAACAAGTGCTATAGACTGATAAAGTAAAAATTGAACTCTTTAGCTGCAATCAGGTATGTTTGGAGAAAAAAAAGGAGCAGCATTAGACGAAAAGAATGTTTTGCCAACTGTTAAGCATGGTGTAACAAGAATAGAAAGACTTTATTCCTTACTACAGACATTACACAAATAAATTATTTTAATATCATTCTAATATCCAAATAAATATTAATATAGTCACATTTACATTACATAAAGCCCCCTTAAAACCATGGCATTATCTTTCTGTCTTCCTAAGGTGTCTGTGCTTAGATAACTAAAAGTTTCATGAGGACTATAAAAACCTATTGTGTGATGAAGCCACTAAAGCATCTGGAGGTGAGGGAGATGAGAGGTACAGATAGTGAGAGAGGAAGTGGGAGAAGATGCATCTCTGACCATGATGTCTAAAGTAAAGGCAGGCGACTATAACTTTTAATAAGTACCTCTAGCCTAGCTTATCTCAGCAAGGACAGAAACACTGTACATGCTGTCAGTTGTTATCGTGACTGTGTCCAGGCCCAGCACCTACACGGAATGCTTTTGAGCTTATGCATACAGTAAGGAGCTGATGTAATTTCACACTCATACACACCAAAAAATCAAAGATAAACACAAGTACATCACATACACATGCTCACGCATGATACACACAATGCAGAGTGCAAAGAAAATACAATGAGCCAACTATAGTATAACTGTCTGAAAGTGTTGGAGTTATATTCTGCATGCCAGGTGTAGTACTAGATCAAGCTTCCCAATTAGACAAACCATCATTTCATTGCATAGACTACTCTAGAACCTTTCTGACAAGCAAACATACAAACAAGTAAAAAAAAAAGAATAGGTCACCTCCTATTCATATCTGTATTTGTATCTTTTTAGAACACATTTGTTTATTCTGAATAATGTACTCGTATTCTGTTACATCCCTAATACATACGAACCTGAAACGCAATGTCAGAGATACCACAAACACACACATACACACAAAACACAGCCCAAGGCACACACTCATGAGCAGTATCATCTCTAATAACCGAGCTCATTGAAGCATAGTTGAAAATGACTTTGGAGGATTGACACATTAAGGATAGTAGGTGGGATTGTGCAGGTGTCGGGAGGAGGAGAAGGCTCGATTGTGTTTGAGTGAGAGACAATGCAAGAGATTGAAAGAAACACAGAGAGACACTGATTCTCACACATTTACACAATGTTCCCTATATGCTGTCTTTTTTTCCCCTCACTTGTGAGATGACCGCATGAAATGAGAAACAGGTGCCGAGAGAGAAAATATGAAACACTCATTTCGAGAAGGAAGCAACTGAAAGCAGGTTGTGTGTAGTGCATGAGCAGTAGCTAGGGTACATGTGAGAGTAGGGAGATGTTCAGGCTGACTGCACTTTCAGGACAAATACAGTGACCAGGTCAGTGCACTGCAAACACTGAACACAGAAATAGTAACAGAAAAGAGTGGAAAAATGAAAAATGGAGCACAATGTGGGAAAATATAGACAAAGTACTATATGTATTAATTCGTCCCTGGTGGACTAGTGGTTAGGCCACAGTGCTCTCACTGGTGTGGCCTGGGTTCAGTACCTGGGCAGGGAACCAACCCCAGCCCCTGGGGGGGTTGCACTCCCAGGGCCGGTCCCAAGCCTGGATAAAATTTGGGAGGATTGTGTCAGGAAGGGCATCTGGCATAAAAAAAGAATGTGCCAAATTAAATATGCAGACCAATGATCCTGTGGCTGCGGCGACCCCTAATGGGAGCAGCCAAAAGAAGAACAACAACCTGCTGTAGACCAACAGAGTTCACTAAGGTAAGCTGACCTTAAGTTAGAGTGTCAACTAATATTTTATCCAACGTTGCAACCACATTGTACAGCATTTGAATGTAAGAATCAATTCAAAGCAAAAGAACAAGGAAAAGTTGTTAGCTAGGTTTTCTGTTTAGCAGTTTTAATAAATAGTTCAGAATTTGGTCAGTTAACCACAACAAATAAAGTACTTCGAGTAACTGTTCATATCAGTTGGTGTGGACTTATTAAACTGCTAATTAAAACTATAAGAATGTCTTAATAATATTATGAATGATCCCAAAATATTTTTTCATAGCAAGAATTAGCAGAAAACAAGATTACTAATTGATTGAGTAATGTAACTTGACAGTAAGATAACATGGCAGATAGACAGACATAGCTTCAAGCTAACTGTAGCTATTGTAAATTACACCAAGTCAGTTTGATAAGCAAAGCAATTTCACGCAAACCCACAAACTAATCTTATCTAACATTGCGTGTACATCCAAATGTTAAGAACATTACCAAAGAACATAGCTCAAGCTTTAGAAGTCTGAGGCGTTTTTTGGATCCTGGAGATGTTTTGACATGCCCTGACATTTGTTCTTATTTCAGTTACTTATAGCATATTAATGGCATTAATATTAAAATCTCATTGTGTGTGTGTTCACTACTGTGTGTGTGCACTTGGATGGGTTAAATGCAGAGCACAAATTCCGAGTATGGGTCACCATACTTGGCTACACGTCACTTCACTTAAATCACTTTAAAAAAATTACACTATATTCCGCACAAATTGTGCTACAATAATATGTGAGCAACATGTATGTACATGTTTGTATTTTTGAGAAAATCTAGTTTAAAGTTGGTTAGTAAAAAAATTTTTTAAGGACACTGAGATAGGGCCATAAAACACATACTAAATATATTTTCACAAGACTTTTGAATACTGGATTATGTAGACCAGAGTCTTTGTTACAATATGTTGTGAAAACTATCCTATTCATTCACATAAAACAACGCAATGATTTAACTTTTGTGTGACACTTTTTGTTTTAGAAATTCTGTATGCAAGGGAGTGTCAATGGCCATGAATACTGATGTCTTTCACGCCTGGGGAGATAATGATCCATCCCCTAATGGGTCAGTCAAGGTGGAATGCCACTGTGGAAACTAAAAGAAAGAATTTGAGGAGACTAACAGAAAGAAAATTTTTTTTATTTGTAATTTATTTACAACATAGTGCACAATATAATCAAAATATAAAAAATGATGGTCAAAAGCACATTTTTGAGCACACAGATTTGAACACACAGTCATGCACCTTTGTGCCATTCCTGGAAACAGTGTATGTATAAAAATAAATAACAGAATCAAAGAAACTATATTATCACTAATATCATCACCAAGCATTATCACTACTAATACTGCCCACTCATAAAAAAAAAAAAGAAGAAGATTTCTGTAATGCCATACATGCACATATACTTTATGTATTATCACACAGAACGTAAACAAAATTAAACAAACATCTGTAATTAATTAAGAAAAAATGGCTTATTCATCAGAATTTATATCCTCCACTGGATCAAGTCGCTCATCAAAATGCAACCGTTCATCATCGGAGTCGCGTTCTTCGTCTGAGGAAAAGGTAAACTCTTCCTCACTGTCCAGGACCATCTAGAAAGCGTCCTCATGTGTGTAGCGTGCCATCATCCAAAAGCGATGAAAAGTCAGTCAATCTGATGAAGCTTGATGCCATGTTTACATGTTTATCACATCGATGGGGGCGTTTACGAGGTTTGTGTGGCTCGTGCAGGTCATTACCGTATGAATAGCACGTGCTGTGGGTGGTTGTGTCTAGATCAGTGCTAATGAGCTGAGACAGAAAAACTGTACCTAGTGTTAGTTTCATTCACATTACTTAATCAAATAATATTTGTTTTGGATTTGAATCAGCTCATTTAAAAGTAGATATTTGAAGGTTTCTATAGACGTATTTCTCATGTCTGTGTGACAATTATATGCTGAGATTCGCTTCATTTTTGTGACACGCTCCAGATAGAAGTTCACAGAGATGGACACAGCAGAAAGTGCATCCTGTTTTCTGTATTTTAAAAAAAACCCAAAAAGCACAAAATTTTATTTTTATTGTGAGCGGACACAAATAAAAGTAGCCCCTTTACAGTTTCGATTGATGTCTTCCTCTTTTCTGTATGACCATAAATGGCGGAGTATTTTAACTAATTGCTGTTGCTATAAGAAAAAAAATCCAAGTGATCCTGCAGGCACCTCCGTCGTCACCTAGATGAGGTAAATGATGCTAACATTAGCCTAAGCTACAGACTCACCTAGTCAGTAGCATAGCTAATCCCTGCCTTGACACACAATCCATATATTTATAGTGAAAGATTCATGATGTGATTCAGGATTTTGGTGCTAATTTGTTGTCTGGTTGCAGTATTTATATTTTCCTCTGAGAAGATAGCAGTTCTGTGCCACACTGACATCACATCGCTAAGTTATTCAGGATGGATTTTTCCTTTAATTCCACATAAAGCTTTCACTTGTTAAAAGTTCTCTTGTTTTAAGGTGACGAGCAATATCTCCAAATTGCACACAGTGGGTTGACACTTTTGGAGAAAATCCCAAGTCTATATTTTAAATTCTATATGTCTATGAGCTGTTCTAATCCTCTATCCTTATAGTAAAGACACACACAAGTTCCCTTGAGACCTTTAGCCCAAAGTTATGTGCCTTCTGATAGTCTATAAACTTAAAAAGAAAAGAAAATCTTTAAACTCGTTGGAAAAGTCAAACATAATGGTCTAACTTTAACAAAATGGACTATCTCCTTTAACAATAGGTACATGGTCCATCTTCTGAGATCATATCCTGTTGAGCCCTCTTCTGCATTCCTTCTTGGTGCTTATGAAAATCATTTCTCCCAGAAATTAATACTTAACCGAAAGTAAAAGTATAAAACTTTAAGGCCCCTTCAAGGCACTATTACTCTTGCATGAAGGCAGGGAGCTTTTTAGGTCACTCTCTAGACAGACAATGGCAACACGCACTATCAAACCAGCTGACTAGTGTTGACTGTGGCCTGAAATCATGACTCACACTGCGTTCACCTCGGGACCTTCTCCTGTCTCTCTCAGCATGACAAATTCATGCAGCTGATGACGGGATAGAGGGATGGAAGGATGAGCTGTCGTCTCGACCATGATGGAGCGCTATGTGGTTTGAGACAGGTTAGGCGCCTTTTGGGCTGCTGATGGTTTAGGTTAAGTGTCCTCTGCTCTGATGCAGGCTCACAGAATGGGCAGAACGGTTGTGTGTGAATTATTGAAAGCTCAGGGATGTGGAGAGAGGCAGATAGATGGGGAAAGGGAAGGAGGGTGGAGGATACGGACAGCTGTCCCAGCATGTTGCAGACATACTTCCGGGCCATCTGTGCGGGAGTTGTTCCCTCAGGAGAAGAGCATCAGATACAAGGTGACATCTGAGGGATATACAAGATGAAGGATTCATTTTTTGTCCTAAATCCGCTAGATTGATGAACAGTATGTCCTGTCCTGTCTGGTTAATCCAGTCCTCTCCTACTATCTGTATATATTTCCATCTAATCTATATATCTATGACATCCTTATTACTATTACACCTAAATGATTTATGAAAAAAAAAACAGCATGCAAATGTGTAGGTACTGTGCATCCACAGATATGGGGTTTTTTTTATTTTCTCCATTTTTCTCTCAAATTTGGTTACTTGTCAATTCACACCAACCAGCCAGCTCATACAACAGGTACCAACCAGGGAGGTGAAGGTTCCACTGAGACCCATGATACCAGCCAAATGCATATTTATGAACTGCTGCTCATGCTGCATCACAGGGCAGTGTAACCCACTCGTAGGAAAGTGGAATTGGAAATCTGCCCTCTTCAACATACATGAGCTCATGCTTCAACAAACATTTTACTGCCTTGGCTCCCAAGTACGTATGGCTGTGGCATCGTTGGGATTCAAACTCAAATTTCGCCAAACTGAATGTACGTAGCCTGATATATCACACAGCTACAACATGAAAAGGACATCCCAGCCATTGCCCAGTCTTTCTCTGGCTGACCGTCTCATTTTAAGGCTGCAAAGGGTCTGCAAACTGGGTCTTATCAGCGGAAAACAGAATTTGACTATGAGCTTCCCACGTTGAAGCACTGATGCAACCTGATGCAACAACAGTTCAGAAAAAAAAACATGGCCGCATACATAAGCTAGCTGTCACATCCAGTTCCACTGCTCAACCAGGAGCACTTGCTTCTCAACCCGATCCGAACCCAGACGTTACAACGCTCACACTCACCTGACCACTAACACACCTGTTTCCTGTTTATCTTTCAACTTTGTGTATTTAAATAACCCATTTATTCCTACTGTTTGTGAGATTTTGCCATATTTTCAAGTAGCAACTCTGAGTATGTTACACTTGTTTTTCTGGTTTTGACCTTTCTGTTTTCTCCATGTTTTTGATCCTGTATTGCTCTGTTTACCTGATTGCATGACCTTTGTATGTTTTTGACCACGATTCTGCCTGTCAACTTGGATTTTTAACAAATATTAAGCTCATACTTATATCTACTTGTCTCAGATTTCTGACACTAGCGCTTGCTGGCAACTGTGTGGATATAAAAGGCTCTGAACCTTTAATACTGCTTCCTTCATAAATGGTAATTGGTGGGAAAACTGTATTCAAATGAATTACCCTTCCAATTATTCAACTATCCTTCTATATTTAGTGATCTTAAAGAA